CAAATCGAACGGCCCAAGGAATGAAGCCCAATTGGAGGATCCACAAATCAGATAGCTCAAAGAACGAAGCCCAATCAGACAATTCAGGATGAATGCCCAAATAGGGAAGCCCATGAACACGGTAACACCATCGCCCAAACTTGCAAGTCGCCCAAGATCTAAGCGAATGGAGTGCCATGCAGTCTCCCAGAGCTGCTACTCTATTCTAGCCCAAACCTTCGAGTCGCCCAAGGTTTTAGCAAACATGACGTGTTATGGTTATCAAGAAGCGCAGTTATCAAAACAGTTATTAAAGCAGTTATATCACATTCCACGATTCAAGGAATTCAATTGAAGACGATTGAACGACAAACGATTGAACGACAAAGAGTAATAGCAGCAGTTAGAAAAGGCAGTTCCATGACAAGTTGGCCATTACGAGGAAAGTGGGCAGTTATAGAACGATCAAGCAGTTTTTAGGCGGTTGATCACAAAGAGATCATCCAAGGAGTATAAAAGGAAGAAAAGACATAGAGCAAAAGACCCCAAATCAAAAACTCTCGAACAGAGAACATGTAACTTTAAATTTCTTAGTTTAGATTTAAACACTTCTTTCAGTAACTCGTGTACTTGTGCTCCTTGGAGGCATTCTGTTTTTACTTTCCGATTGTAAAGTCATCGCCAATAAAGAACACCCATTTTTGGGACTTTGTTTCAAGAGGTTTGTCCCTTACACAATCGTCTAATCCCTTTTTAATTGTTAGCGACTAACCCGCGCGAAACAGATACAAACACTTGTGAAATAAAATAATATGCATCAAGAATTCATGATGACATTTACAGATCGGTTATTCGTAGAGTAGCACCATTGGTTAATAAAAAAAAATGTATTTTCGAGCTTGTTTGCCTTTTATAATAATATCTATATAATTTAAAGGTCAAAGTCAAAAATTAATTATATATACGTACACCATTCAATAATTTTAGTAATTTATAATGAAACCCTTTTATAATTATTTCACATATGTGGAGTTCCCCTTGACTCTTTGGATCATAAAGAGGATGCATTTAGTTTATATGTGTGATAACGGACTATTTGTATAACAACAATAAAATATTAAAAATATAAACATTCTAATTTAACCCCATTTGGGGAGAATTTACAATTGACTTAGCCCCAATTTGACCCCTATTATTGTCAAATTTTAATGGTTAGAATAGTGTCTTTTTGAAAATGTGTGGTTGAAAAAAAATTAAAAATTTTTTATTTGCGTATAATATTATTTTATGAAAAATTGTGTAGTTGAAAATAAAAGAGAGAAAAAGAATGAGAAAGAGAATGGGGTTCAAACGAGGGTTAATTTATAAATAAAGAAAAACGAGTTATGAATAAAAAAAAATTAATATTTGCATGTTGATTAGAATGTATGGCAAAAAAAAAAAGTTTAATATTTTATAAATCTTTATCAAAATGAGGGTTCGAAAATTGAGAGCTGACAAATTTTCAAGCAAAAGCAAACTTGGCGAACGATGTCGTTTGCCTTTTACCTCGGCAAAAGCCACCCCTGGAGCGTTCACCCCGATTGATACATCTTTTAAGTGGCTGAGATTTAACGGGCAGGTACCCTTTGCTATCTGGTGCAATACTCACCACTCAGCAGATTCTCTCTCTTTTGATATTTGGGGACTCTTCAAATTGCATCCAATAATAACGTAGCATCTGATTACAATCCAACTTTAAATCAAAACCGATCATATCAAATACGTGGCTTAATCAAGTGCCAGATTTTTATTCCAATCTTTTTAGATACTTCTGTCTACTTGCCCATGAGCGCGTGGGGCCCATTTCTCATGGTATGATTGAACCATTGAACGAATGGGAATGCATATTGCATTCTGCGCATGTACATGCACATGTTTACGTGTTCTCCTCTCATTGGTTTGAATCATAAATGATTTAAAACCATTAAATATCTTTTCAATACTAAGAACCAAGACATGTTTTTCGAAAGGATTTATAATTGGACAAAATTTTTTAAATAGGATTAATATGTAAAAAAAATTTACAGAGCAAAAATTGAAATGGGATATCAGATTTTCGTCACTCACTCGACTATTTTCTCAATACATTTTTAAAACTTTGAGACATCTGATTTCAACTCTAAACGTGATCTGCACAATATGATATTTAACTTCATTTTATAATTTAATATCGTTCATTAATGTTTGATTCACAACGATACTAATTCAAAATGGTTGAATTTGAAAAATAACCTATTTTGACTTATTATCGGATCATTTAAAGGATCCACATCGGATATCCATATTTGCATATAATACTTTCACGTTTCAAAAACAAATAAATCCCAATGGAAGAATCTGGAACTAATCGAAAGTGACATAAGGTGGTGAAAATTACAGTGTCTCTAATTAATAAATAAATCAATTATGAAGATTAGGTCAGTCGAAAATTACCCAATAGCTTATTTTACAATAAATATAAGCAGAAAAGGAGGTGATTTCGTAAACATCGTGGCCTACCTATAGCCGTCCATGCTATTTTAGTATCAAATGCTATGGGCCCTTTATTTTAGTGGACAAGCTTTGGACGGTTGAAATTGAACCACTCCATTAAGTGTGCCAATGGCGTTGAAGCATCTGTGTCACGTGAATTAAAGAATTAGTGCTGAAGGAGAGAGGAAAATTTGTTGTTACGCGAAAAGGTTTTTTCGAGGAAAATGTGATGAATAAAAGTTTGTAGTGGAAGCTCATAAGAAAAGAATTGACTTCAATTGAATTGTTTAGGTTTTGTTTTATTATACGTGGAGTGATTTAACCATTTAATGTGTTACCTTTTCAAAATTAGTTCACCATCGAAGGTTCAAATAGTTACATAAAGACAAGTACACATAGCATGTTTTCAAGAAGAGATAGTACGAGACTAACCAATAATGTTGAGCCAATATATCCTAAATTCAATGTAGTAAGATGATTGAGATTGAACGAGCAAACCTCAACTCCAACAGTACATCTAAGTACCTAGAGTCAAACAAGGAAGCTTAGATCAACAAAAGCTAACAAGATCCATAACATTAATGCTTCACTTAGAAATACTATGTTACATACTTATAACGTAGGGTCTCCTTAACTTCTATTATTACGACTCCAGTGAGTTGGAGACAAATGAATAGCACGACAAACCATTTCACCGACTTTATAGTGGGTGTCGACCTAAGCCCGTGTTTACTTACTCCAGATGTTAGGCATTTCTCGAGTTCAGTGAAATTTCATAAGATATTGTCGTGACGACAATAACTAATTTGAACATTGGAGTAGAATCAACCGTTACTACCTCCAACCATCAAGTTTGATAATTGTGTTTTACGCTCTTATTTAAGTCCCTAAATTAGTTTAAAGATTATTAAGGGAATGGATTTAAAATTTTATACTCATTTTTGTGAAGGAGTATAATCCGTGCCAAAAATGGGATGAAAATAGGCACGTTGAAAAGAAGCCCGAAATAGACAGTTTTAAGTGACCCACTTTGGACGGCTACGATTCTTGCTACAGTTGACGGTTTTATTATCCGACAACAATGTCATAAAGGCCTCCTTTAGAACTTAGCAATGGTATCAAGATCTCACACGACGACCTCCTGAAATAGACCGCAAGGCTGAAACAGAAATCTTCCCGAAATGTGTTCAGCATTACTATATGGATGACACGTGTCACCATGCATACCCCCCCCCCCACCGGGGGCCCCGCCCCAAACCTCCTCTTCACATTAGTCACCAAGATTCTTACTTGGGTGTTTTGAATTTGTTAAATTCTTCTCTCAATTCCGGCAAAGATTTTGGCTATTTAAACATTTGATTAGCTAATCACATCTGATGTATCACTGTTGCTACTTTCATGCTCATGACTTTAATTTTTATAGAGGTTATTGGCGTTCAATTTATCTGCATCTATGCAATGGAAGATCTGGTTTTTCAAGATAAAGATTGTTTCATGGACACGTTACAACTTTCAGCAATATAGCAGTTCTATAATTTTACAGGCAAGGAAATCTGATATTGGAATCTTCATCGACGTGTTTTAGCATATATAAGGTCAATATAGATTGACCTTTCCATCAAGAGATGTTAATACATTATTTCATTAATTGCATTATGATCATATGCTGAACAATCAACCCGATGCTGATTTATCAGCTTCACAATGTATCTGCTCCACCTTCCTTGGAAACGAGTTCTTTCAAACGATATAGCAGCAAGTTGAAGTCATCGTCGCTCTTAAGAAGGCTGAGGCGTACATAACGATCTTCAGCATCGAACAAGCTACCTGAACGGCCTATGATGTTTGCAGCGAGCAGGACAGCACTGCAATTGGTGTCTTCTTCCCTCTCACATTTCAACCAGATATATGCTGCCATTAGTGTAAAACTGTAAGGCTTAAAAGTTTAGCAGACAAAATCAAGTGTGTTTGCTCACCATTTACTTCATCATGATCTAATATTTACCAGAGCTTATTGAAGTGAATAGTCATGGACATGATATATTACTTGTCATGGATAAAGCTACTAGTACATATTTTTATGTACATTATGTACACCAAGCACAACCCTACTTGTCATAGTTGATGTTAGTTTCTTTTAACAGAAAAATGGGTGGGAGGGTGGATGACACTAATATAAAAACTATTAGGTGACTTTTGGCAAGGAATGAAATGCTCTTGAAGTCAAGAATACTTCAATTCTTGAAGTTCTTAGGTGTACTTTGGGGTCAGCGGTATCAGAACAAGATTTATATTTGCAATTACAAATTGATGAATTGAAAATCTAACTTTCATGGGCAGGAATGGAAGTGTCCAGTGAATATCACCTGGCGATGGTCCCCTGACTTTCTCGAAGAAGTTGCAGTACTGAGGTGGAATATCCTGGACAGTAAAATGCTTCGACAGTGATACAGTCTGGCTAATCTTTTCCCAGCGGTCCCTCATTTTTTCATAGGCAAAGTGAAAGATTTCCCGGCCGTCACCTTTAAGCACTACTTTGAGAAGTTGCAGAGCTCTCAATTGAGTATCCCTTGAGATGCTAAATTCTGCCAGTGATATATACTTCTGCATATTAAGGTAAACATCCTTGTCCTTCACTAAAGCCCAACTGCATTAAGAAATAGTGGAATCTTTCTGTCATTTCTTTATGCAGAATTACTAGTAATACCTTAAGCAGAAAGTGAATTTAAAATGGAAATGAAATCAATTCCCTTGCTATACTGAGAAACATTTTGATATCTACTCCATCTTGACATCGGGTTACGGGTATGCTTAGACCTTAAATACAACTGTTACATTTACTCGTCCCAAGAAAATCCAAATGTAGCTAGAACATCAGTAATAATAGCTCAGATAGTACTGAATCAAAGCTGTACTTGATACATGGTCTGCATTTATACAGTACTAGTGCAAAAGTTGCCATTGTTCAAGATTTTCCAGTAGTTCCTGGTGAATTACCTCGATTTCCTAGTAAGAAAATAAAGGCGAGTATTTAATTACCCAAATCTACTTCCAGCATGGCCAGTGAGCTTGGAAATTGTGAAAATCATGATATCTTCATCTGCTGGTGCTGGAATAGCTGAAAAATGTGGCCAGTAATAGGCGTGATCATAAATGGCATTCACAGACACCCCTTGTAGAACTGCCTTTCTTAGATTTCCATCAGGATTATTTGGTGAAGTTACAAATTCAATCACATTTCCGGCAGAATCTGAAGTATTTTTTATCAACAATGCATCTCCTTTAAACTCAAAGTGAACAGTTTCAAAGAAGTCCGTTTGTGTTTTATACACCTGTGAACCATGGATTTCAAGCTTTTAAATAAATGGAGCAATTTTTTGGAAAGTGAAGGTTGTAAATATACAAACCGGGTAATAAGGTGATTCTGCAACAACTCTTGCAGGTGACGACGAGTTGAGGGAAAGAGCAAAAACAGCTGCTGAGAGAAGTTGAGTGGAACCAACTCCAAAAACAAGGTATTTCCCTTTTGTAATTGCATTTCTGGCAATGGAGTGGACTTTGAGAATGTGTTTTTGAAGCTCCTGTGACATTGAAGATTGATCTCCAAATACATAGCTCATTCTGTGCCACCCTGCAACTAGAAGTGCACTGCTCTCTGCATTTTGCATCCAAAAGGGCTCCAAAAATAAGGGATCCCCACTACATTAGATATATTTAATTGTTAGTGACCCGTTAATTATAAGAATTGGATGAAGAATATACATTTGAGTTCAGTAGATTAGACTGTAATACTTAAACATAGTTTTTCAAGAATTTTCTTTTTAAATTTATTTGTGTGTTGATTAATTCAATGTTAGTTGGCCTATATATGCACATGTAATAGTAATTCTATTCTATTACATCATTGGTACGATGAATTAGAAGGAGTTGGAATGGATAACTGACACATTTTATCACGTCTTTACTCCTTAATTAGGTTCATTCAAAAGTCAGATAAAATTAATGATGTGTACATGCAACTGAATTACTCACATACTTAATATTTTGATGGCCTAAAGCTGTTAAAGGCAATCTAATCTCTTGATCTCCTCCAACAAAAGATGGAGTTGAGATCTGTTGTCTCTTGAATGTCCCCCAATACATTTTTGTTTTGGACCAAATTGCACAATCGCATAAGGTTTTACTCCATGTGATCGCATGGAATAAATCTCCTAAAATTGCAACCCCAAAAATTAGATTTCTCGAGAGAAAAATGGATGAACCACGTGCCAGCAAGTTTAACCCCATATGATCACATAGAGGTAGTTTTTGACTAGGCGAGCAGTTTCCCTTATTCGATTGAAACTCTTTTGGAAATCAATTTTCATGTGATTCTTGACCTAATTCAAACTTATTTAAGTACAGAACGTGGGCAACTATTAGATTCTCATACCGCTCTTATATCATATCATAAAATAAAATCTTTCAATTACCAGAGGCTAATTCATGACAATTAAAGAAGAACAAACCTAGCAAGGAATATAAGGCAAATACGGTCAAGATGGTGAAGATCAAGTCTCGGGATTGAAGATCAAAAACAAAAAAACTGTTTTCACATATTTCTTGTATTCATATACATTTTGGGTGTTGACTTTCCATTCTTCTTATTGTAATTTCGTTATAAACATATTAGGCCCCCGTTTGGCCCCCATTTTTGGTAATGAAAATGGGATAATAGTGTTTTGTTGAAAAAATAAGTGGTTGAAAAAGAAGGAAAAATTTTCGATTTACGTGTAATATTATTTTATGGAAGATTGTGTGGTTGAAAATAGGAGAGAGAAAAATAGAATGTAATGAAATGTAATTTAATGGAGATCTTTCTTATGTTGGGATGAAGATTGTAAGTTCAAATTATTGTTTATCTAGACTCATAAAAACTAGGGTTGTAAGCAAAAATCGCAAAATCGGAAAATCAAATCGAAACCGCATTTTAGAAACTGTCGGTTTGGTGTCACATAGACCCGGTCAACAAAATGGTTTTGACCCAAAACAAACCGGTCAAAATGGTTTGATTTATGTTTGAGAATTTAAATTGGGATTTAAAACCAAACCGGATAGACGAAAAAATATATAAAAATGAAAAAATGAAATTTGTTGAAAATTCATTCAAATATGTAAAATTCAATAGTTTTGTCATTTGTGAGTATTTTTGTCAATTCTAATTTTCTAATAGAGATATATTATTATTATTATTACCAATAATCCTAATATATATTTAATAATTTCAAGACTAACATAATCTATCAAAAGCCTTTTTCCTCTTCAAAATTTAGATGAACTCCAGTCGACACCCAACACAGTTTTGAGCTACCGGCACCACACACTTCTTTTTCAGAATTTTCACACTTCTTCAAAATTGAATTGAAGTCCATTATACCAAATCGGAGACAAAGAGATCCTAAACCTTCGGTGATAATATTTGCTACAAATAAAGTTTCAGATCAATAATTTTTTGGAGCAAACTAAGGTAAGAATCTGAAAATAAATGTGTTTCATAACATCATACAAACGTAAATTTATGTAATTGTTATGTTTAGATATTATAAACAATTACTTTATTATTGTGGTTGGTTATTCTCTTTATTTAATCAGTATTCCTTTTTCAAATATGATGATCACGAGATCTTGTTGGACATAATTATATATTTTGGGCCTTATATCTAATTTAGTAGACTTGTATTGTAATGTTATTGTATCGTCACTAGCCTAAAAAAGGTGAACAAAATTGAAAAAAAAAAATATGTTTTAATTTATTGTGATTTCACTTTGATTTAGTTGATATTTAAATTTATAGTAAATATATTTAGCCCCTGTTTGAGCCATATCTTTCATATCATCATAATGAAAAAATTTACTATTGGAGAGGAGGTTGGATCCCACACATGAAATAGCAGGTGACAAAGGCGGCTGGACTTGTGGAATAACGGTCCAAATTTTCATTTTTTTGTCCCAAAAATTTGGTTCAAATAGGGGCTTAGTTTGTTTTAGATTTATTACTAGTGAGTTATAAATATATATTAAATTCAATGAATTAATAATATAAAAGTAGACGGGCAAAAAAATATATGGCAAAACCGACGGTTTAAAATCGGACCAAACCGTTAGGTTTAGGTTTGAGTTTTTTTCAAACCATTCAAAATGGTTTGGTTTAAGTTTGGGTTTTTTTCAAACCGTTTTAAACAGTTTGGTTTAGGTTTGAGTTTTTTTCAAACCGTTTTAAACGGTTTGGTTTGAAAATTTGTCAAAAACAGGTAAAACCGAACCGCTTACACCCCTAATAAATACAACAAGTCACTTATTAATTATTTCTAGATGATTAAGTCAATAAATCCATTTTAACCCTATGTTTGAACAATCACAATAGATCAAAAACAGTAAATAAATAAGAATACCAAATATGATCACGGAGAAAAACCCCTTCGCAAAAGGATAAAAAAACTCGCCCCCAAGCAAATGACAATCCACCAGAAAAGTTAATTTACAACTAGTCCAAACACTGCTAAACTTTAGCTAATTCTGATAAGCTAGCTTGTAAATAATCAAGGAACTCCATTGTCGTGCACGCCCATTATTTTAGAAAGTTGATGTTTACAAAAAAACTCCAAGAAATTCTCTATTTATCTTCAAATTTGTAGGGTCATACTCACTCTCTATTTTTAATTAACAATTATTGCATTTAATAAGTTACAAATTTTAATACTCTATAATTTAAATTATTCAAATCACATTTAAATTGATTGGCCATTAATATACAAAAATTGTGTTAACTAAGAAATGATGAGAAATCAGTAGATCCGTTTGATTGCAAAGATAGAATTGAATTGCCTAGAAAACGAATTCTAGAGAATTGAATTGCCTAGAAATCATTTTCCTGTAAATTGTAAATTATTGTGTTTGATTAATATAATTTTTCACGTGAAAAATGTTGAATAAAAGTATTTTTGGTGTTCATTTGATTTTGTTTTACATGAAAATTGTCAATTAAAGGGATGAAATTGACTGATATTGGGGATGAAATTTGTTTCCATTGTCAAAACCCAAAAAAAAATTAAAAAATAAAAAAATAATCTACTTTTGGAATTTGTTTGACTTTATTTTACGTGAAAATTGTTAATTAAAAAGAAATATTTTTTTACAACAACTTTTAGAATTTATTTCCATTGTCTTAAAAAAAAAAAAGCTTTAATTCAATTTCTCACCATTTTGGTGAGAATTGAAATTCCATCATAGAAGAAAAATGTTGATGTGGCGGCAGTGAATGGAATTCCAAATCTATGGGATTAAAAGGTTATCAAACAAATCATTTTGTGAGAAAAGGAATTCCATTTCCATTTTCTAGGGAAAACAAGGGTCAATCAAACCTAAGGCCCCGTTTGGTAGAGATTTTTTGCCTCAAAAAATTGATTTTTTGACCGTTATTTTACTATTCAAACCGTAATTTTTGACTTTTTCTCTCACGCGTGGACTCCACTTTTCTTCTAACGATCAAAAAATCAATTCTCAAAATCCCTACCAAACGGATCCTAAATGTTTCCTAAAAAAAATAAAATAAAGAGTCAAAATAGATGACATTATTGGAGTGCATGACAAAATTTACTTTCCACATTTAAAAATACCCTGCATAAGATAATGTTCAACTCCCACTAATTTTGATGGAAGCCCACGAATTTATCAAATAAATATTTCGATCAACAGCTCCTTAACAGGTAATGAGTTCTTTTCCTGCTTCATCTTTAAATTTTCATCAATATTGTTTGTAAAGAATTATACGGAGACACGGAGAGATGGGTACCTGTCTGCATCAGCGGCACAGTCAGGCAAGAAGTGAGAGCAGTGAGGGCCTTCATAGCAAGTGTTGCACTCACAAACTGGTTTCCCATCAACAACTAAGCCATCTAAATAGGCTCTTCCATGGCCAGAGCATGATACTGCGGCCACTGCTTCAGCTTCTGCACCAGCCCTTTGGCTCCAACTCAGCTGCTTATTCTCATATATACCAAACAGATTATTGGTTACGAAGAAGATATTAAGAGCAATAGAACCCGCAAAACATACACCAAAACTTAAGTCTTTAATCTTAGCCATGTATTAATCTTTGACTAATCTTTATTACTTTTCTGTTTATACACACATATGGGAAAAATGGGATGACTTGTATTGTTCAACTGAAGTGATAAGAGACAGAATCCGTGGAGAAGATTCTAGTAAGCCCAAAAAAGTCCTGCATGCCTTTGTTGAAAGTCACGTCCCGGAGAAGATTCTTTATTGTCTTGTAGCCTGTAGGCCCTGTACCACCAATAAATATTAGGACGATGCCGTTTGTATCCGGGTATTTACACGGCCCCATTGTCCCAGTCACATGGGGATCGGTCCCACGTAGGGG